AAACTTAGACACACAAGAATTATACTGGTTCGGCAGAACTTTTGCCTACGTCCAGTTGTGATTTCTCTACCTAGAGAAATCACCGCTCCTTTGATTAATAATAGAGATTACAGAACTTTTGCAAACCCTAGAACTAATCTCAAAACTCTTGGCTGTCTCTGGCTATTTTTCCTCTTCTTTAAAATAAGCCTTGCCACACCCTATTTATAGATATAGAGTTGGCTTACATGTCCCAAGGCTGATTGAATTCCTATTTCTAAGTGGATTAGGAAATTACACTTATCCAAATCCAAATCCAAATAGACTTCTAGAAATCCAAACCTAAATTGAATAAAGAAAACTGAAATTCTTTCCTAATCCCTCTAGGACAAGAATACCTCTAATTTTCCTAAAGCAATCCTAAACCAACTAGGACATATTTGACGAGCCAAAATCCTAACACTTGCTCCTTAGCTGGAGAGAATTTCACTGCTCATTATGCATGTCACTCAACGTTCTTTGTTAATATGCTTTTGTTGAAAAGGGGAAAGTTGAGTGATGAAGAGTGGACTGTGCAGTTCATGAGCATGGGTTGTGTGAGAATATTTGTTGAGTTTTAAAATGTTATATAGTTTTCCCATGTGGGTTTGCGGTTATCATGTGCTTTCCCCTTATGATATTTATTATTTTCTTGCTTCAAGAAACTGAATTGCCATAATCGTCAAGCAGGTACCTAAATGAGCAAGTAGCTTCCAAACAACATTCTGATGCTTCAAGGGGGGTCTATGTGTTTTCTGATATGAATCCTTATGTCGGTCACCCAAACCCACTAAAAGAAGGCCAGGACATGTTCCACAAGGGCCTTTTGAGTGAAGCAGTGTTTGCTTTAGAAGCTGAAGTTCTCAAGAACCCTGAAAATGCTGAAGGTTGGAGGCTACTTGGAATAGCACATGCAGAAAATGATGATGATCAACAGGTAATCCTATTTTCTTGATATTTAGTGTTTACAAATTGTATATTTTCAGCATACTTCCTATAACACGACTATATATACTACTATATTAAGTCCTTATAATATGTCCATTAGTTTTGCAAATTTCATACAGTGCTTCAGCTCAAAGCATCTCTCTCTTTCACCTTGTGTCATACATATGAGTTTACTTCATAGAATGACAATTGTTCTGAACTATAATCTTTGCAGGCCATTGCAGCTATGATGCGTGCACAGGAGGCTGATCCAACAAATCTCGAAGTGCTTCTTGCTCTTGGAGTGAGTCATACAAATGGTAAGTTGTTCTTTCTCCATGTATATAAGTAAAGTAAAAGAACTTCATTTGAGTAATCATTAGTTGAAAGTTCTTTAAGGAATTAATCATTGTATCGAGTCAATGACGCCCCTGCAGCACAAGTTTGTGTGAATAAATGTGGTTTTTTCCTTTAGAAACAAAAACTCGGGGAAGCGGAGAAATATGCTTCTCTAGAGTTCGTAGAAACTAATAAGACTCTTCAAATATGCAGAATTGGAGCAGGCTGCTGCTTTAAAGTATTTATATGGATGGCTACGCCATCACCAAAAGTATGGGGTGCTTGCCCGACCAGAGCTGTCGGATTCTTTGTACTATGCTGATGTAAGTGTTCGGCTTTAGAATTTTCATGTTTTTAGGTTCCCCAGGCTGAAATTCCTACTCTTTTGACTTTTGAATATCTTATGCATATGGTTACTTCAGTGGATCTGGTCATTTTTTAATCTATAAGCAAGTAGTGACGAGAAATGGAACCTCATGTGCATTGAGAGTGTACTTTTCTAGTTTTCTTATCCTTATTATTAGAAAACAGAGAAGGTGGATACAACCCCAGTACAATGGGAGAATAATCTCCTGTCTGTATACTAAGATTCTGCCGTCAGCATTCATTCGTACACCTACAAAATTATCTAACAGACTATTCTGGTAGAAAAAGTTTCCTGGCCAACTTAATAAATTATTCAGTTTTAATATGTAACACAAGTACAGAAGGAAGGACTAGTGAGTTTGTAGGGACCCATAATGTTCAATAGTGACAGCACAGACAAATTTGGCATACATGCAAAAGATGAGTTCCATTTGGACCTTCACGGTGCCCAAAATCCCAAGAATGTTGGGGCTGCACTCTCCATTCCAAATTTTGGATGTGGTCTGTTGCACTATAAAGTGGGGTTTGAAGACATTGCTGTTCAAGTCATTAGTTAAGTCCTGGTGACCATCAAACTACATATGGTTTAAGAACATCATTTTCTGGGAACTTTTGTTCCCAAAATTGGTTTTTTGACTGTATTAGATTTCCGTTACTCAGTCGACTTGCTTGCTACTCGATAAGATAGGGTATGAATAAACTTTATTTGTAATCTGCAGGTTGCTAGATTATTCAATGAAGCTGCTCAAATGTCACCTGAAGATGCTGATGTGCATATAGTACTTGGTGTCCTTTACAACTTGTCAAGAGAATATGACAAAGCCATTGAGTCCTTCCGATTAGCTTTGAAACTAAAGCCGCAAGATTACTCTCTCTGGAACAAGCTTGGAGCAACACAGGCAAACAGTGTTCAGAGTGCTGATGCGATATTGGCTTATCAACAGGTAATTTGTGTAATCAACCCTCGTATACTCGTACGGTTAATCTTTAGGGAGAAAATAATCATTGCATTCCGAATGTATAATGGAATAGTCACCTTAGTCACTATAGCATATAAAAAACTGTCTGCAATTTATAATATTTGAACTAAACTTTTGTTAGCAAGTTTTAAGGGAAAATGGCCATTCAGATGCTGCTTGAACAAGTTGGCTTTCCAACATTGTGCAAAGATGTAGCGTACAATTTCCCTGCAGCCCTTCTTCTGTTTGATAAGCATTTGTAAACAAGACTTAGTATTTTGTAAAATTCTAAGCATTCTGGATTGGAGTAGTTTGTTTGACGGTTTGTAGAGAATTCACTAATAACATAGCAGAAACCTGCTAATTTTTAACCCACATGCTTGATCTGTCTTATTGTCATGCCTCGAACAAGAAAGTAACTATACTTTTTCTTTCTTAATTTACAAAATAAACAATTCCTTGATTTAAGATTTTTTATTTATACTTATTACTTGTGTCTTTTTAGTGCATCAATTGGGAATTATGTGTGGGTTGTAATTCAGAGATGGATCTTAGAGCTTGGGTTTACCACTGGGTTTCAGTGCCTTTCAATAGATTGTTGTTTATAGATTACACTGTATTCTTTAATTGAATTAATATACTCTGCATATCTGTAGTTCTTTTTTAATTGGCTTTCTTGAAAACTTTATATTATCAACTTAGAACTAACTTTTGGTTTTATCTCCCGGAGTGCAGGCACTAGATTTGAAGCCTAATTATGTTCATGCGTGGGCAAATATGGGTATCAGTTATGCCAACCAGGTTAGTTCTTATGGTTGACTCTTATCACTTTGAAATTTTAGATGGGAACTGAATTTATTATTCCTATTTTGTTTTGGGTTTCTTGTATAACTGGCTGTGAAAATTCTTGTAGAAATGGATTCTTTCTCATTTGTACTTTAGACTACAGGAGCCTAACAAACCTTGAGCTATGTTAGTACGGAGAGATCCATTTAGAATGACTTGTGTACAATGTTTGGTTTGAAACTTTGATGTTTACTACAATGGAAAAGGAAGTGAGATTCTGAGAATGAGTAAAAAGCAAGTGGTTATACTATATAGATGCACAACCAAAGGAATATATAGGAGAGAGAAAAAGAAGAATGAGAAGGAAGGGGAGAGACAAGGTGAATTTATGTCTACTCCCAATCAATATGGCAAAACTGAAAATCCAATTACACTATAAACTATTTATGTAGCAGTCCAGAAATAATAAAATTACACAATTACATAACAATAGCGACTAATTAGATCCTTGGGATTCTGATAATAAAATATCATTAAAACATTTCCAAACTCCAAGTCTGTCCCTAAAATATGTGTAGGTCCCTTTCCACTATCCTACTTGAAACCTGTACCACTAGTTTCCCAACAAACTCAAAAGCCTGAAATCTTTTCTTCGAGGTAATTGCATTTAGTAGAGCTATAAGTGCATAATTCTGACTGTTCATGTGGGTATTAATTTCAACTATTTATGGCTTGTTATTTAATTTCTGCTATAAGTGATCAAAGTTTCCCAAATATCTTGGGATTTACAGCATTTGTTTAACCGATTAACTTCCTTCCCTATTGTGAATGCATCTAGGGCATGTATGAGGATTCCATTCGTTACTATGTCCGAGCACTTACCATGAATCCGAAGGCAGATAACGGTTGGCAATATTTGAGAATTTCTTTGAGGTACGTTAATATAAAAGTTCAAAAAGAAAAAATATATATTTAAGTCTTTCTCCGCAATGTTCCTTTTAAATATCTTGTTTTCTTGCCTTTGTTGCAGCTGTGCTTCTAGGAATGACATGTTGGAAGCCTGTGAGATTCTCGGAATCTAGATGTTCTGCAGAAGGAGTTTCCTTTATAATGTTTATAGTTCTTTTGAATTGCTGGATGAGAATAACTGGGTCCATCACTGAATTGAGAACGGAAATATGCAGAGGCTCCTAATGAAGAACACGGGTTCACGCTTATGGTTCATCCTGTGCCGGTTTTGGTAAAAATATCCGAGAGTCGGAAGAGTAAGTGGGGCAATAGGAACTCATCCAAATGAAATAAGTTCAAGTACTTCAAAAAATAATACGTCAATGTGTAACGTTTCTTATGTATAACACAGCAAAGCATAGTTATAGTTTACAATGAGAAAGGGCACAATGGAGGTAGGCCTTGTTTATAGCTGCTGTAGTTGTTTTGGCTATAATGTCATAGCTGATGAACTTAAAACAGATGATTTGTCAATTCTTAGAAGAAATTTCAGGTATAAAAGTTGAGATTGCCCCGTACTTTAAAAGAACAAAAAAACAAAGGTGAATCTTTGTATCTAAATGAGAAGAGAAACTTACGCCGGGGATGACACTGTTTGTTTTAACTTTCGCACATGGTAGTGTGTGATTAGCTTGGAATACTGCTACTGTGGCATCCCCATTGTATGGAAGTTCTTCCTAAATGAATGACAGAGCAATCAAAGGATTGAAAGGGTTATTTTGTCCACAAGTTCCCAAAGATTCCTTTAGCATCATAATAAGATGTTGGCACTAATGATTGTAGAAAATTTGTAAATCCCAAAATGCTGAGGTAACTTTTTCGATCTTGTAATCATAAAATAATACATAACCATAATTGTATACTTTGTGATGACTCGTGACGGAGGGAGGGCTAGACAATGCTTGTAATTATTCTTCACCTACAAGGCTATACATATAGATAGACTGAACCTGCACACCCATGTCCTAAATGAGAGATGATTTGATATTCACACCCATCCATCCATCCATGATCCAATCCCTTGCGTGTGTGCTGAAACCAAAGCTAAGGCCAGAGTGGTCTCTCTCACTCTAAATCAATCATTTTGTGCTGGATAATGCAGTACCAAAATATATACAAACAAATAAATAAATATATATATATATATATGTATATAACATAATAAATAAAGAAAGAGAAGGAGAAAACCAACCACGCACAGAGAGAAACATGCACTCAAAGCAAAGCTTTAAGCAGTGTGTCTCTGCTGCTGCTGCTCTCTTCTCTTTGCTTTAACTTGTTGTGCACGGCCACAATATCCCAACCCTACACTTTGGCATATCCTCTATAGAATTAACCCCACCTACGCCATCCCCATCCCCATCCCCCACCATTAATTATATGCACTCTACCTCTCCCTTTAAAATAATTTAATAGTTCTGGTTAGTTGTAGTAATATTATTATATCTACTTTTATATTTCTCACGATTCTGTCGAATCTGTCTGTCCCTCTCTCTCTCTCTCTGTGGGAGAAGAATCAAACACCATTCTTCTCTCTATATATTAGTTTTTTATGACTTACATGAATATCTTACATTTTGTTTTTTTTGGTTTTCTTTTGGGATGGAAGAAAGAGAAAGGTTTTAGCGTCACAATCAAAATCAGACTATATACTGAACAAGTAGGTCAATTTCGTATATTTCTAATGCCTGCAAGCAGAGATTACTCATCATATACTGTGATAAAAGAAGGCCTGACATATTTTGTTGGTCTTATTACTAATACCTACTTGATGACCTATAGCTATAGCCACTACATCAATATCGATCCATCACTATTATCATTTATCTTTTCATTAAAAAACAACAAAATACAAATGAAACCAGGTATATATATATATATATATCTGATTATCAATGCACGAATAAATATTAGTTCCCTCCCTAGAATCCCTACCCAATATAAAAGAAGAAGAAAACAAAAACCAATTGATTAAAAAAAAACATAGGGTTGTGCAAACATGTTTTGGCCCACAGATAAGGATCAGGTAAAAAAATCTCAGGAGTTTACATATTCTGTGAGATATAAGTTAAAGTTGTAGTGTCTCAGAGACTCGGATAGTAACCCATAGCCATACCCTAGAAGCAACTATATATTCAGTGGACAGTGAGGTTGGGGACGATTTGACTTTTTTTTTTCTTTCCATCAAGTTAATGTGAGATAAAGTAGGTCAATTTTATTCCTCGGAAATTGAAAAGCAAAAAAAAAAAAGTGATGGAATATAAAGAAGAAGAGTAAGAACCGAGGTCAATTTTATCCTTCATTTCCGGTAGCTCTTCTTTCTCTCTCCGAATCACTTAACGGACACATGCATAGAATTGCCAATAAAACATATGCATAGAATAACAAGTTTATATACAACAACTTCGAGGCAAATACTAGTTACAACATTTTCTTGCACCAAAAAGATAATAATATTTTTCTAGTGCTGTTTTTTAAATATAGTCATATATATTGTATTTTAGCTATAAATTAAACATGAAAACTGGTCCAAATTAGGAGTTAATTAATGGATCATCTCCATCTGCCATTGTCATTATTAATCGGCATGTGGAGACATGAGAGAGAGAGAGAGAGAGAGAGAGAGAGAGAGAGAGAGGCATCAATTCAATTCAATGCCAAATATATCAAAGAGAAGAGAAATGACCAAAAAAGGTTGGGTTTCGTCCAAACAAACACAACAACTACATTGGCCAAAAGGTTACGTCTGAATCAGATGGAAACGAAATGATGGATGGATGTCTATATATCTATCTGTCAATGCCATGTTGCACCAACCCTAGCTAGCCCTGCCCTGATCCCTCACTCATATATAACTCTCAACACGCAAGCCCAACCTAAGGTAAGTAAGCCTTTGCCTTATTGCCATGCCTTGTAACCATCTTATCACTCATGTCAGCAAGCAACCAAACACCAAACTAGACTTAGAACCTAGCTAGCCACATACATATAGAGCTTATATATTGACAAACAATAATTTTGGTACCATATTAATTTTAATTAAGTTGGAGGTCCATTACATTTAATTTCCCATTGTTTATAGCATATGGGAAGAAGCTATACATACAATTCTTCTCCTATATGCAGACAACTTGACATTATTACCGTGTAGACGTCATTGTAAACATGGAGGAAAGCAGGAATGTGTGATAGAAAATACATGGTGTCCGCACGATTATAACGTTTGAACATCCGCATAAGAGAAAATCTAGCTATACATATCTGTACATACATGTGTATATATATATAAAACAAGGCTAGGGCTAGGGCTAGGGCTGGGGCTAGCTAGAGGAGATCATATATTGTTATTAAGAGATTAATTAAGTGGTCCTAATTATTAATTAAAGACGAGAGAGAGGACAGGAGAGATCCCTAGCTAGCAGGTGGGTTTGGGGATGTATGGTGGTAGAGGAGGCAAGGGGAGAGCATGAAATGGTCTATTTTGAGAACTTTGATGGTGTTGTTGAGGGGACAGACGGCATAAATTAGGGCAATAAATGGTGCAAAATCAAAAGACAGCCACAGGTATATACGGCTACTTAGTGCTAAAAACAAGAATATATGCTCATTCACCTGCATGCCCCCTTTAATCTCTTGGAAAAGCATTCATTGGAGGAAGGGATACAAAGGAATTTTGGGGAACAAGGGAGTGGTTCATTTGCAAACAGCATCCATTATTTTTATTAATTTAAACATTTCCCTTTCTCAATTTATTAGTTAATTAGAAGAGGAAGTTAAGGTGGCAAGGTGGGAGTGCATGATAGATTAAGTATTTTTCATTTCAACCAAAAGTGAAGCATCTTAATTAATTAATTAATTAATTAGCATTAGAAAGAAGATATCTGATTAAGTAGCATATAAATATATATATACAAGGAGACACACAACCCTCTAGAAGAAAACGATGCTTAAAGTACTTCAAGATATTGAAACTAATAAATATTTAATCAATAAGATATGCTCCACTTCGCCACTGTCTTTGCTTCCAAAAGGCCGAAGTTTGGTCATACAATTAAATAAAGCGAAGAAAAAACACTAAATAAATCCCAATTGTAAGATGGATTTATATAACACATTAATTCATGAATCAATGATCAATCTCAGTCGATAACAAAAAGAACAAACTGTGATGGTTCAGAAGCTCTCGCTATAGGCTATAGCTTGCTGTGTCTTCATTTCACATGCAAGTTGCAACGTCCAAAGAGAGAGATTCGCATTAAATGGTACTTCTACTCTTTGCATGTTTATATGCATATACTGATCATTCATCAGCTTAGTTAGGGGGAGAGAGAGAGAGAGAGAGAGAGTCTTCTCTTTGATTGGAATTTCAGTGGGTTTCTTATCTGGACACCCACTATAATGGCAACTCATATCTTGCGTCTTAATGCATTCTTTTTTTCATATACGCCTATATATATATATATATATATAAGAAGATGAAACAAGAAAGAGAGGATAGCTTTAGCTAGCTAGCTAGATATATATAGCTTTCAAATTAATTGATTAATTAATTAATTAATCATAATTAGTGCCAAGAAGAAACAGAGAAAAGGGGACGATTCTGCCAACCTAAGAAAAAAGAGTCATTGATTATCCTCAGCTGGTAACCCTCGGAAGGATAATGAAGCCTCAGAAGCAGCTTCGCTTGCGAGAGAGCAAAAGGGCTCAAAGCCACGTTCTCAAACCCTGCCCTCCTCAACATCACCTCCCAATACGTCTCGTACTTTTCGTGCCTTTGCCTTCTCCTCCCCTCCTCCGCCCCCACCACGTCCCTAATCTCCCTCCCCATCCACACATCCTCCACCGCCTGTCTCTCCCTGCTGTTCGGCGGCAGCGTCGCTTCCAAAGAGTCGAAAACGGCGCCGTAGTGCTCCAGAGCTTCCACGAACCGGTTGAAGAAGAGAGGGTGGTTGTGGTAGGCCTCTTTGTTGGCGATCGTCAACACCTTTGGGTTTAATGACTTGATCTTCCGGAGGAAGAGAGAGAGCTCACGTGAGTCGTCCGTGACGAGGGTGTGGAGGTAGAGCACGCAGTTGACGGCGAGGGCTTCGTTCGGGAGGAGGCCGAGGGTTGAAGGGCTGATTATGTCTGACGGTCGGACGGCATCGTTTAGGACGAGTGGGTGGAAATGGAAGGCGAGGCCGAGGGAGTTGGCGAATTTTAAGAGGCGGTCACCGGTTTTGAGGAGGAGGGTGAGGCTGTGGCCCGTGGCGGTGATTCGAAGCATGGGAGGCGGATGTTGGACGGTTCTGTCGCTGTTGTAGGAGCGGTCGGCGAGGGCTTGCATCAGTGGGGGCCACTGGACGCCGTGCATTATGTCAAAGTCGAGGATGTGGATGGAATGATGGGATGAGTCTATGGCTTCGAGGATGGCTTGGTTGGCTGTCAAGTGGCTGAATCTTATGAATGGGGTTATCCGGTTTAGGGTTAGGTAGCATGAGTGGAGTGCCTCCTCGTTGTTGTTGTCGTCCTCCTCTTCCAACAATAAGTAGTTGGAGGAGGAGGATGCGGCCGCAGTGGCGGCAGTTGTGAGTGCCGCACTAGAGCTAGGGTTAGGATTATTGAGGCGGAGGGAGAGGGCTTTGACAAACTGGTAGGTCAATCTCTCGGTGGAGTCTCCGAAGGGGGAGGATTTGGAAGACAAGAGGGAAATGAGGCGGCGAGCGGAGGAGAAGTCAAGCTGGGAAATGAGCTCGGCGCAGGTAATGAGCAATTGGCGCATGTGGGTTGGTGAGGTGGTCATCAAGCCCCTTGGCATTACAAATGGCTGGTGAGAAATCTGGTGAGCATGGAGATGGTGGTGGTTGTGGTGGTATAGTTGCAGATCTGAGATATTGCTGATGTTGGGTAATTGGTAATTATGATGTGGATGATCTTCTTGTTGATCTTCAAGAGGCACTTGTTCTTCTTGTTGTTGCAGATGGGAAGAATTGAATGAGCCCATGAGCATTTACTTCTTGATCTTTCAGCTGGCTTAGCTCTAGCAAGCTGCTTTCTTCAAGAACTTGGCATCTGCTAGCTGCTGAGTGTATAGAATGTAAAGGCGCAGTCATATATAGATGCAGCAGTAGCAATAAGTAGTAGCAGCAACTGTGATACCAGGTATATTTGGGGGAACTGGTCTCTCTCCCACACACATATTATTGTATATAAATGGGATATATAACAAATTAATTGCAGAACAAGGGTTTGGAAGAGAGAGAGAGAGAGAGAGAGAGAGATAGAGGGAGGGTATATATCAATTGTACGATCTGATCAGTTCTTTAATTTGTTGAAAATGAAAATGAGGAAGGAAGATATATATATATATATATATCATGAGCAGATTCAGATCTACTCTCTATGAGTAAGAGGGGGTTTTTTTTTTTTTTTTTTCATTTAAAGTATAATTAATAAGAAAGATAAACATATATATTATATATATGATGATCTCTGATGCTGTGGAGCAGCTTTCCATGAGTAAGCATTATCTACCAGAAACAGGCAGCAACTGAAATGCTTGCAGCAGTCAGTAACAGTGCCTCTGCACAAACATTACCCTCTCATCTCACGAATTATTATTTTCTCTTCTTTTTTTTAATATAGATTTTTTTCTAATTACATTTTGGTTCTTGCATATTGCTAGCAAACCAGTGTTCTTTGTTTTTCAGATATCCATATCGATCCCATATTGCAGCCCACTTATAGATTAACAATATATATAATAGTGCTATATATATATATTTTTATGTAATTAATCTGTTTTTTTCCACGCAACAACGATGTGTAAGATATGTCTCTTTCAACGTTATTAATCACATTAACATTGTTGATCACATTGACTACTCCATCCAACAATGGTGGGCATCCACAATATCTCCCAAATGCAATACATATACGTATATATATATATATATGACAATGTTAATAAGCTAATATTCAATTGAATCGATAATTTAACAGTCTAACAACGCAATATAATATGTCAATGTATCTGATAAGAGAATATCTTTGTATATCCATGCAGTATAATCAAGTTGAATTAGGATACGTATATAAAGGACCATTCAATTTGAGATGGAAAAAAAAATGTTGGTCTTTCCAGATTGAATTATATTCGAGGCTCCTGTTGTTTCAAAGTTTGATCGAACCATCTGCCTCGATAGATTTTGGTCAATGAGAATCAATGGTTGACCTGGGAAGTCAACTTAGTCCCTTGGATTATTAAGTAAACAAATCATGGTATAAAGTACTGGCTAGCTATAGCTAAATTGTTTATGGGATGAATTGGCCACACACGTCTAAACTTTTACACATTGAAAGTTACCTAACAGTAAGAGCATCCACAGTGGGGGATGTATAAAGGGGTGTATGTTAAATATACACCCATTGTGATCGAAATCACCCGCAATGGGGGGGTGTATATGAATGTATAATTACATCACCACCTGGGAGATGTATATTTAGATGCAATTGTACATCTTTTTTTACATCTCTTGCAGGTGGGACCCAACTGCAAAAAGGCGAGGGAAAATGGAGAAAAGTGGCTTTACACCCCCGAAAATACACCCTCTCATTGGAGCAAAAAGCGTATTTACACCCCCCGGAGGTGTAAAGGGGATGTAAAAGTGGCTTTACACCCCCGAAAATACACCTCCCACTGTGGATGCTCTAACAAACTAACTTTTACACAAACACACAGAGTTACCATATTGTTATTTACTTTTGTACTTGGACATGTAATTTCTAATCTCAAATTCTATGACCTACTTTCACCTTTGCCATGATGACCTTGAATCTTTCAAATTCGCACATGCAGGAGTTTGTGTTTCGAATCGAACGTGCATTTATGAAAGCTGGAGTGAACAAAATTTGTTGATTTTCTTTTTATAATATGAACAATTTCTAGAAAAGAAAGTCGTGGTCTTGCTTTGGGGGTTCCTTATGATATTCTTGTTGGAAATGGCCGTTAATTAATTAATTACAACCTTTTTGTAGCCGTATATATAGATTTGTGATCGTACTACCATAGTATTCTATAACTTCTCGGATTTGTGGAGCTGGAGGTGCAATTAAGTTGCTTCCTCCTTAAAAAACAAAAAAGAAAGAAATTGGATTGCGAAAATGGAAAAATTAATTAAGCCCCAATGTGAAGTTTCGAAATTAACCATATTCATGGTTAAAAATTAAATTTCTGGTCAGTTTCGGTGCAGAGAAAGAATCTTTCTAGGACTTATTGGTACATAAATATATAGGACTGTCAATATAGGAGCATGGCTTTCATGCATCCAGGTCTTTGAATCTTGATGAGGTGAACATAATATTCTCCAGCTTCTTGTAGCTAGGTTTGTCATGCATGCATAAGAAAACTATATTAGTTATAAAATCAAAAATCAAAAATTATAAAAAAGTATTTGATGTCCCATTTTGATATACCAATAGCCTAGCTAGCTAGAGCTAGCTATAATAATATTTACTAGTTATTATGTGCATGCAGCTCCAGTAGTGTAATGGAATGTCTGCAACAGTTGGCTACCGAGCTAGAAGATTTCAATATTGTTATATTTATGTTATGTATGATTACCAATTCGAAAACATAAACAACCCTTTGCAAAAAGAAAAAAAGGAACAGAAAAATAGGTTTTTTTTTTTTTTTTTTTTGGTGTTGGTGTGGACAAAAGTGAGTAATAGAGTTTTATTAGATAAGAGGAGAACCACATACAAAAACCGGACAATCTCCTAAGGAATTATGTGAGTGTCTCTACACATTTGGGCTCGGTCGTTGGACTAATTGAATAGCCTTACTCTCACTATCGAAACTACAGGACTATGATGGGTTGTAGCCTAGATAAGCTTTGAACAAAATAAATAAATAAACCTATATCTATATGGCCCTCCAAGTCTACTGCCTTTTGCTTTGAGCGAATCCTCTCCTCCTAATCGCTTAGCAGCCTTGTTTGTTTGGTTTTTTTTTTTTTTTTTTTTCTGTAAAGTGTGCTGTTTTTTGTTTTTTGTTCACCAAATAAAAAATAAAAAAGAAAGCTCTTTAACATTAGACTCAATAAAATCCCTCGCAAGTCTTTTAAACCACAATTATATACGCAGTAAGCAGTGGGAAGAGGCTTTCAAAAACGGAATAGTATGTTAACCTAATTATATTCTTCTTGTGTTTACAACTAATATATATGTGAAACTTAATTATTTCTTTTCAATAACAAAAAATTCAATTCTCTCAATGATCGCAAGGCACAACTTGAATAGATACACTTTGAATTATATTTGTTGACCATACATTCATTTTGAATTATATTTGTTGACCATACATTCATTTTGATAGTATGTATATGTTTTGATTATATTTAACATGTATTTGTCTTATAATAAAGTATAATAAAAATTAGTCAATGAAAAAAAATGATTAGAGTTTAAGCTAAAAAATTTAACTAGCCCACCATAAAAAAATTCCTAGTTCCGCCCTTATCCTCTCAATCGTACCGAAAGAAGGAATCCTAATTACCTCAGATAGAGTGCCCTCAATCCCCTTAAATTGGTTCCATTTTGTTCATTTCACCTGGGGTGGAGCCCTGGATATATGATCAATATAGAGCACGGATTGGCATCTTGAGAAAAAGGAAAAAATATATATATAACGGCAGAGATATAGAAGAAGGCTACTTCTGTTTAGGCAATGAAGATTCAAGGGACACACAACAAGCCAAGCCTTCTCTTCTCTTCTCCAAAAAAAAAAAAGTCTGTCTCCTTGTGTTGCTCTTGTTTTATTGGTTGCAATCAAGTGTGTTTTCGATATTAGATCTATGCATATTTCCCAAAGTGTAAAGTTGTTGACAGAAAAACACCCTGCAAGAGGCTTCTTCACCGTCCTGTCAAAATAGAAAATACCACCTCATTCATATCATACCTTCTTCTTTTTTTCACAACAAAACTCCTAAGGTACCTAGTTGAGCCCCACGCCCCACGACCCACCACAAGAAATGTCAGTGTGTTATGTACGAAATAGCTTCAAATTTATCTTACCCTCCTTTTACTAATATCTTCTATATTATTGCGGTGGCCAGAAAAATAGAAATATATATATATATAATTAGGTCATCTGGGTATTTATGTGAAAAATTAGGAGTTATCACGTATCCTATGATTATTATTTGACTCTGTTATTTTTCCGTAGATTAAATTAATTTAAAATAATTAGACTATCGTTTGTATCATTATTTGAAAAGGAACCATATGAAATATACTTGCATGTTGGTGTTTTCTGAACATCTTTAAACTCAATAAAACTGCCGTTTTTATATTAAAGAAAACATGTTTTCTGAAAATCATTCTTTGAGTGTTAATTATGATATGATTTAAGAAGTTCCAATGTAGACAAGTACAAGGAAGACACTGTTGATATCCTGCAAAGTAAATAAAAAATTATTTCAGTGAGATGTGAAATCAACAGTGCAAGTAAATAATAAATGTGTACCGGTTCTGCAGGCCGATTGTGCACACATGCAAGTATGAAATGAAAGATCTAGAATATTAATAATAATATATACATATAACTCAGCAAAGAAAACCCAAAAAAAAAAAAGAATTTTTAAAAGAGAGAAGCATCTGCAATGTATGAAGCAGTAAATAGGAGAGGTGGAATTTTAGGGCAAAACAATTGGAGCAGTTCGTTTTTGTTACTTCTTTTTCTTTTCCTTTTCCTTTTCTATCCTTTCTTCCTTACAAAGTTACAACAAACAAAGTGAACACGCAAAGCCTTAAATGTGGAATATATTGCTTTTACAAGCAGCTGCTGCTTCTGCTTCTGCTTCTGATGCTGCTGCTGGTGGACATAGTAGCTATCTAGCTAGCTAGCTTAACCCTGATCTTCGCTCAACGCTGACACCTGTGTGTTTCCTTGTTTGTCTCTCTTTGTTGGATTCGATGGATCTTCAGCATCATCATGCCCCATGTGGATGGGGCTGCATGCCTTCATTTTCATTTCATTATTATTCACTATGCCAATACTATAATTTGTAATATAATAATGCGAAAAGAGATACTAAACAAGTAATTAACAAAATGAAATAGCGTCGATCCTAGTTTTGAAGTTTGAGTTAAACATTTTAAGGTTTGAAGTTTAGTTGGTAGTGTTTTCTTATCGGGGTTTATGTACATTGTCAAATAAGTTCGAATCAAAGTTC